CCCCCCACCACATCTCCCCCACCTCCCTCCTCCTCCTCCGCAAAAAACAAGCCAAACTCCGTCTCACAGCCCCCTCAACCCTCTCCACAACCCTCTCCTCAGTCTCACCCTCCTCCTCCCCACAAACCCGCAACGCCCTAAACTCCACGCTCATCTTCGCACAGCACGAAGCCGGCACCGCAGTGCTAGTCCACGCGTCGGGCTGGGCACTAACATGCGCGCACTGTTTCGGGGAAGATGAGGTGGAGTATGAGGCTGGGGGGAAGAGAAGATGGATGTTGTTTTATAATGGGGACGCGGTGCTTGTTGAGTGTCGGGTGTGGGATGCGGTGCGGGATTTGGCGCTGTTGAGGATTGTAGCTGTTGAGGTTGAGGCGGGTGTGAGTCGGGGATCGGGAGTAGGAGTGGGAGGGAAAGAGAGGCAAACGCCTAATTTCTACGCGTTAGAGTTATATACCGGGACACTGCGGTACAAGATGCGAATCCTGTGTATCGGCCAGCCCGGCCGCGACGATCTAGAGAGCAAGGCGGGGGGAAAGACGCCGTACGATCTTGTCGAGGTATCGTCGGGGGTGTTTCGGGGGATGGTGGCCGGGGCAGACGTGCAGGATAATGGGGATATAGGGACGTTGATGCACGATGCGTGGACGTACTGGGGGCATTCGGGGGCGCCTTTGGTGAGGGAGGCCGATGGGAGACTGCTGGGTTTACATTCGTCATGGGATGAGGAGACGGGGATGAGACATGGTGTGCCGGGGGCTGCTATTAGGGAATTTTTGAGGATGCATCTGCCGGTTGCTGTTGGGGGGATGACGGAGTGTACGGCTATTGATGTTGATGCTTTGTGAGGTGGAGGTAGGCTGGGACGAGATTATACTTTGAGAGTATGGTACGGAACCTAAACCTACACCTACACCTACAGTCTGCTGAGCCTCCAAATAGAGATGCCGGCTGAAAGGCAGACCTCGTCGTCAAGTGGCCTAAAAACTGTAGGTTTATTATGCGAGTTGGTTATATAGAGGGCCATATAGTAGATAAGAGACATTTCAAGGATCTTGAGTGATTATGAAATGATCCATATGAACGTAACATTTATTAAAGCCTATCCGAAGGGTATAAATTCTCCAGAATCTACGGAGTACTCATTATCAAACCACCCACCCCCACCACATATTATTATCGCAAGGTCAGCGACGCTTGCTGGTATCTTTACAAACGCCAGTCAGTACAATCAAACCCCGTGGTATCATCCATCCATCCCATCCATCCCATCCTCAAAACGCAACACCAACACTATTCCTCCCAGGCACATATCCCTTTTCAGGAATCCTTAACTTCCAATCCTCCCCAATGATCTTCCTCGGAGGCGATCCGAAAGTCCTAACACGTTCCAATTCCACACTCTTCTCCTCACTCCCCCTCGCCGTCATCCCCACATCCCTATTTTCCCGTCCCGGGCTGCTCTCCGGCGTCCACGTATGCTCATCCTCTGCATCCTCGCTCTCGAGCGTACTGACAGTGCTGACGCTATACCTTCTATTCTCCTCTCCTATCCCACTCAATTCAACACATTGGTAGAAGCCCTCTCTTTCTTTCAACAGCTTCGGCGTATTGGTGATGCTGTCTAGAGAAATGGTGCGCGAATGTTCGGATTGTGACGGGGGTGGGGAGCGGGAGAGCCAGCTTGAGACGCGGGAAAAGGACTTCTTTTTTCGCAGTGGTGGGTGTGGTGTTTGGAGGATGAGTGGGAGAGGTGGAGGTGGCAGGAGTTCTCGGAGCGGCGATTTAGGGGGTGGGGAGGGGAAGGAAATTGAAGATGATGATGAGAAGGTTGCTGAGGCTTCGGTGAAAGATTTTAGCCGGCTGGGGATGTGCACGGCGTTCTTTGGTGGTGCAGTCTTTGGTCGTTGGTCCGCGAGGCGCTCGGCGAACGAGGGTTGAATGGGTGGTGTGGACGGCATTGGTTCTACATTTATTAGAAACTTCACGCGAGTGGACGCAGAGGGGTAATACCTTGAGACTCGGAGTAGATGCTTCGTCCACGAGAAGTTGCTCGACTTGTCGGTCGGCTTGACAAGTATATACTCCTCCGCTCTTCGATTACTTCGTCGATATCTTTTAGGCGCTGCTCTAATTCAAACTTCTCATGAAGAGCTGACTTAATCCTCTCATAGGTTGGTGGCTCTGTCATAGCTCTAAGACGCGCTGGTGGTGGAGGTTTTGGCATATCCGTATCCAGTCTCGCAAGTAGTTCTTGTGCTGTCAAAGAGTCCGGTCCAGGTTGAAACTGCGCAGTCCATTCTGACGATGTCCTCGAACTTGCACGAATAGGTTTCCGGGGTATCTGGAATGACAAGGATGAACCACTTCTTGAGTGCGTCATGGCAGTAGGTGGACGTGGTAGGTCTTTCATCTCGTCGTTGGATGGGAATGCTATGTCTTCTGGGCGGAAATGTGGTAATAGAGGGGACAGCTGATTCTGGGGCATATAAATGCTCAATTCCAATGGCCTAAATCCACCAGATCCCTCCCTTCGTCTTGACGGCGGCGTAGCATTAAGATGTTGAAAGTCCGTCGGCGCCCCTATCGCCATCCTCGGCCGGCGAGGTCCATTATATGCATTGATTTTCCTTCTCACAGAGAAGCTTCCACGACTAGATGCGCGGGATGCGAAGCTCTTGCTTCGCGAAACCCATTCTCTCCCTCTCGTCGACGGCCGATCTTGCGGCTCGGGCATCGGCGGCGCTATCAAGCGCGGTTGATGGTGCTCGATCCCTATGGGTCTTCTAGATTCTAGAGATATAGTTTAGAAAATCCGAATCCTCCTCTCAGCAGAAAGGCTTGATACGTACCACCGCGCGCTCTAGGCGCTTGCTGCTGACGCAGTGATGAGCAGCAGTTTACGGATGAGCGAAGCCATGACATGTAGGCTTCATCGAACCACCCTCCTATTGAACTCATGACCACGACGACTTCATTCCGAACGTCGGACCACCAGAATAACAGAATGCACGCACAGAAAGAATGAGAGTGGAAGAAGACAAGAAGGAAGAAGAAGCTTAGGAAAGTCCGGATAGGCACATGTTTAGATGCAAACGCTGCTGCTCTTGCGGGGATGGGTGAGCGAACACTGATTCGTCAATAGGATAGATTGAGAGGGTTGCATGCCATCTATGCGCCCGACTGCTACATCTGGGACCCATGCCATGCCATGCCGATGGTAAGGTAGGGTGAGATGTTAACAATACCTTATTCAGGACAGCGGGTATGCGAGCCATCGAGAGGCTCTCGGCATCTCTGACTGAAGCCCTTTAATAGTGCGATGGGTGTCTGCTGGGTGGCTGTCTTGCGCATATGATAGGGTGCTGCGGGGTTTACTAGACAGCTAAGGCAGGGCCATGGCGGTTAATGATCACCCAAACCAGCAATCAATGGTTCTGAGGCGCTGAAGCTATAATTAAACCTAGCCGCCAATGACATTTTGAAGGGATCCATGTCGGGATCCGAATTTGTGGTTTTGGTTTGGTTTTGTCTTACCCAAGACTGTTCGGAAAATCTTTGTCTGGTAGGTGCACCAGATGCGAGAGTGGAGTAATTATTTAGTTCTGATGAATACACTTCACACTGTACATCTCATCCCAGATCCCACCCCCATCTATTCCTCTAGGAACAACAACGTTTCATCCTTCCTCTTTGCGAAACTTCCTTCCTATTATATACAAATACCTTTTCCCGTGCTGCACAAATTCGATAATCTATTTATTACAGTAACAGATATACCAATTTCCGTCTCCTTTATTATTTATCTATTTCTCTCTCTCACTGTTCCTGGGAAGTATAAACTATTCAGGTGATGTGATTGTTCCCAATACATTGGATCTTAGGCTATATCAAGAGGATACAATAACACCTTTATATTCCGTACCTGTCTCAGGTACCGGCACATCATTCCATCCTACCGGTACATGAACCGTCACTCTCGTTTTAGTCAAGTCACCCAACCACTACCCCGTTCAAAGCACAGGCAGGGTAGTAGCGCCGACAAGCTTTCTACACCTTGACTTCCTTCACGACCTAATTTCCTTTTCTCTTCTCTTTTCCCCTGCTCGAAGATCTCATATTCAAGCGGGGAATGAAATTTCCAGATCGTCTGTGTTTAAGCAGCGTGCAGTAGATGGATATGATCAAGACCCAGGGTTTCTTCGTTGCTGAATACCTAAGAAGATGAAATGGACTTCGCTCGAGACTTTCTCAACACGCTGAAAGGAGCAGGAGTATACTGTAATATACATTATACATAGATGTTGGCAGCGATGAATCCTATCATGCATCTTCTCTTACTAGTCTTGGCGGCACTTATGCATGTATCGTCAATAGTCAACTCCACAAACCATCCAGCTCCATCACATAGCGAAATGCTACTGTAGATATGACTTCTTCCATTCATAAACAAACGAAATCCATCTCACGTTACAGGAATTCAGCCAATCATAATAAGCATAAGCATATGAATTAGCTCCCCTGGAACAGTGAAACGAAACGAAACGCCGAGCTGACTGGCTTTGATGATATGATAAAATAGCGCTTGAGAAGTTGAGCCAAAGAAATGAAATGAAATGAATAGCCCAGTTCTAGGGGGAAATCATGTAGGTGTGTGTGGTGAGGTGAGAAATTAGTGGGAATGCTGAATCAGTACGTAGTGTACCTACTTACAGTACAGTAATACAGCCCCGAGCTACCAGCCCAGCCCAGTCTCATAAACCCACGCACACGATCGTGGCGCACGCAAATATACGCATGCATACATGACGGTATATTAAATTCGCGACGTGCAACAAATCCTTTCTCGCTCCGTACTCTAGTACGCACCCCTGGAAATATGCATATGCTTCCTTTCTTCTGCGTATTAAGTACCTAAGGGTGGGTATTTGCCGAATGAAAAGAAGACTCCCGTTCCAGAGATCTGTGTATTTGCAAAGAACGTGCGGATGTCGGTGATCAGGAGAGATGGGGTTTCGGTCGAGGGGTAGTGACCGCCTGTGTTGTGCACGGTTCGGTGCGTGACGTTGCCAAGGCGTTGGGCCCAATCGAGGGGCTGGCAATGGGTAGTGTTAGATATTTTGATATAGATGCATGACAGGTATGTTGTCAGGGAGTAGAGGGTGATGACTCACGGTCTGGTACCAGATATCTCGCACGAATTCAGAGATTGCTACAGGTTGCTTGACATAAGGGAAGTCGCCGACGCCGTTCAAGGTGAGGCTGCCGCTCTATTTTCCACGTCAGTGACTTGCTTGAGATGGGAATGTGGTAGTTACTACCTACCTTTGCGGCTTCTCTGTAGATCCGAGTAGCTCCATAGGGCCCTTGGATCCAATGCATCATTGTCCAGGTGATGATATCTTCGGTCGACCAAAAGGAAGGATCAGAAACACCGGGCCACATCGCGTCGTAAATCCACATGGCGAGTCCGACAGGGCTATCCGTCAAACCGAATCCCAGGCGCAATGGCCGCTGTTGTTGGATCTGACCATAGCTCCAGGCATTCTCAGTAAATTCCTTGTAATTGTTAATTGCAGCTGTCTCGTCTGACGTGGTCGTGTTGTCGCGGTACCTCTCGAGATCTGAAGCGTTGGGAGCCACGACCCAGAAGTTGGACAGGCAGGAGATCGCGGAATCGGGATACAGGTATGCTTGATGGCGGAGTATCAACCCACCTAAATCGCCGCCTTGGATCACGTATTTGGAATAGTTGAGTTGTTTCATCAAAGCATCAAAGGCATGTGCTGAGTCGATATAACCAAAGCCTGGGCTTGTGGGAGCCGGGGAGAAGGCGAAACCGGGGACAGAAGGCGATATGGATAGGGGGTCCGTCGCTGTAATCAGGTTGTTCGATGTCTTCGACCATCCGGGTCAAAGATACTTTTTGCTTTGTTACAGCAATGAATTCGGGGTCAAGTTGAATCTTGAAAGGGGCAGGTGTTTTGCCAAAGCTGGCCTCGAAGTTCAAAACACCCATGGTGGGACCTATAACGTTGATAGGGAAAACAAGAGTGAATAATGAATGTTTGTTTGAGCTTCACCGCAGCAATCTTTTGGTACTGGCGGGACCTCTGGTTATTCCAAATAAACTTATATTGATGAACGGAGAGTTTTATGTTACACTATGAGGTGAAAAGGGACAGAAAGTTGGATTTGGAAGAAAGTATTAGGTTATGGAAGCTTTGTAGGTACTTTGGTTTAATAATCGTGCGACGAGCATCTTGGCAGACGCCTGCTGAACTGATGCATGTGCGGATGTGATAATCAACTCGTGCAGTACTGTACCTAGGTAAACACGACAGACGGAAAACATCACGTGTGTGGGTTCGACGTAGGAGAAAAGACCAACATGGGCGAAGGCGAGAAGGAGTGGGATCAAAGAGTGGGATGCATCATACTATCAACCGAGGCCACGATTATCGGTGGCAGGGAGGTGAGATGTGATGGTTCTTCCGCCAGGAAAAAGAAAATAAGCATCTTATATGATGGGGATATATATATGGAGTAGGAATTGAAATACCATTACTTGTATGTTATGTTGAAGGGCGTGGCATTGGTGGGGTACCTTTTCCCTCCTCGGCTTGGCCCCTACGGGTACGGTTACAGCCTGCGAATCTGTAGAGGCACCGTGTCCGAGGCCTTGTCAGTGATTCGTTAGAGTATGGTTCGGTGGTTTCCGCAGCTTGGTAGCTGGTGATGGTTAGTTGTAACAAAAACGACCAAGGCAAGCGCCTGTTCCTGGAATGCTTCATTGCAAGGTGGATACAATAATTGCGTGATGAACCTGGGACCTCTGTTGGCGATTGCTAGTGCGAGCTACCAAGACTATAGATCAGCCATCGGAAGAAATATACTTATAAGGGGAACCGAGAGGTACATATATAATTCGGTTTCTTGAAACAAGTTTAATACAATAATAGTATAATACACAGTAGTATAGTATCGAGATCTCGTGATGGTTTAATTTTGGAACACTACGGAGTGAGTATCCCAGCGGAGATCACTCCTTCAGGGGCGGAGCAGGGTTTAGCTCAGGGGCACGGTACCAGCTAACCAAGCGAAAGGCTTGGTGAAAGCTTTGGCCTCCTTCGATCCTCTCCACGCGAAACGCCGTCCTTCGTCAAATCAACTCCACCAACATAACCAACCCCATGAATCCCACATGTTCTTCTTTTACTAACCCTGCATATTACCACCAACTACTCCCTCATAGCTGATTCCTCGCTGAGGTCAGAACGCCTCTTTTCCTTCTGTTTGCGTAGAAATGCCTCTCTCTCTCTCTC